TTGTCAAGGGCGCCCCGATGGATCATCGCGGTGACAGGGGGCGCGTGCACCGCGTCGTCGCAGTGGCGCTCGCCTAGGAGCTCGGCTGCGAGCAGGCCAAGGTCAGGGCAGGGGGAGGGGGGCACGAACGAAGCAAATGACACCATCTTTTTGAACGCCACTAGACGGATGTACCGCAAACCGAGGGATCCGACGCGCCTGCAGCTAGGCAACTAGCCCCATGTAGGTAGGCAGCCTATCGCACAGTTTGCTACTGGCTCCACCGCGCCAACTCGACTGTTTCTAATGAGCCTGAATGACAGCAAGAATGACACGAGAAGGTGGCGCCGGTTGCCGCCACTCGTTAGCGTGGATAACTTTGTTCATTCCACTATTTTCATGGTGTGAGAGCAAATTCAAGACACCTCTTGGGCACTGGTATTTTTTTGCGTCGGGTTCACCTCAAACATGTCTTTTAGTAGAGAAAATTTATTTGGTAGCATTTCATAATGTCAAACTTGCGAGGGCTTTGGGCCACAAAATTCACACTGTGTTGTCATCGTGTTGGTGAATCTCCATCAGGGATCAGAACAAGCCGAACAGCTTGCCGTCGTAGTGGGTCCTCCTGGGCTCCCAGGCGTAGTCATGCGCGGGGGCGGACACGGGGGCGGGCACGGCCACGAGGTACTCGACGCTCCTGACGGGGTCGGCGTGCGCGACCACGGCGAAGAAGTCGTCGAGGCTGTCCCGCGGGTAGTTGTCGCGGACGATCTTGAGGCCGCGGTCCTGCAGCCCGAACACGCCCATCTCCTTGAGGCTGTCCAGCTTCTCCTTGAGGTTGTTGGCCAGCAGGGAGTCGTCGTCCGAGATGAGGACGTAGGGCAGGGACGAGTAGTCCTGGAGGGAAAAGAGGCTTCAGTCGCGCGTTTGGAACGGGGGAAAACCAAAGGAACCCAGGAAAGTAGGATCCCAGGAAATCGGGAACCCAGGAACACGAGCCCAGGAAAGAAGCCCAGGAGAGAAACCCAGAAAAGAAACCCAGGCCATCTTCCTGCACTCCTAAAACCTTACGAAGTATTTTGAGCATACATATAACAAACTAAAATACTACTTTGTTATACGAAGAAATAGTTCGTAACTTACAAAGTATTTGCTTTGTAAGCTTACGTATGCTCAAAATACTTTGTTATACAAACTACTTTTCTTTGTGAGGCCCAAAATAGTTTGTAAGGTTTTCTCAGTGTGGTGTTTCTGGTGCACATTCATTGGCGCACCTGTGACAGGCGGAAGGCGGTGTTGAGGTTGTACGAAGGCAGGTGCAGCTCCCTCAAGGGCAGGAACATCTCGGGGGTGCGCAGGTAGTTGATGGCGCTGGGGTACAGGAAGGACTTCCTGCGCCCGTTGGTCAGGTACCGGACCAGCGGCAAGATCTCCTCGTGCTCGTAGCCGGTGATGTCCGCGAAGCCGCTGCAAACCAACGAGAGCCCATCAAGATGCCTGCCGCGATGGCCACCCGGCGGGGGTTCACCGTCAAGGACGTCAAGGACGTCAAGGACACGTACTTGGGGAGCAGGAAGGCCTGCATCCTGCCGCCGACCGCGGGCGACACGTCGTAGAAAGCGACCATCACGGGGCCCTCCAGGATCTTCTTCATCAGCCCGAACTCGTGCCGCCTCTCGTGGTGGATGTGCGGGGCGCCTGCAGTGGATGCGTCGTTAGGTACACTGGGCAAACTTGCATACCCTTCCACGACACTGCCCTCACGGGGCACTAGGCGTACTCACCGAAGAGGCTGAAGGTCAGGTAGTTGAGAGGGGTGATGGGGCGCTCGGGCTTCACGGCGGACTCCAAGACTGGTTTAACACCGGATTGAACACCTGATTGCACGCCGGATTGAATACCGGTTTGCACACCGGATTGCACACCGGATTGCACACCAGATTGCACACCGGACTGGACTCCAGAATGCGCGCTGGACTGCGCACTGGATTGCGCGCTGGATTGCGCACCGGTTTTCACATCAGTTGGCAGGCCGGACAGCGAGCCGGATTGCGCACTGGATTCAGCGCTGGATTGCGCACCGGTTCTCACGTCAGTGGGAAGACCGGACAGCAAGCCGGATTGCGAACTGGATTGCGCGCTGGATTCCGCGCTGGACTTGACACCGGTTCGCACGTCAATAGGCATGCCGGACACCAGGCCGGGTTGCGAGTCGGTTCGGACGTCGCTGGATTGCGAGAAGGACTGCGCCGAGGACTTGGCGACGGCTTGCACGTCGGACTGCGCGAAGGACTGCGCGGAGGCCTCCGCGAGGGAGTGCACGAGGGGCTGCTCCACGAGCTTCTCGCCGTCGAGGGCCACCCCGGCCGCGGCTAGGCCCGCCAGGGCCAGCACGCCGACGAACACCTTCATGTTGGTGCTGGAGCCAACTGCACCGCCCGCGCGGCCCGGGGGGCTTAAGTACGTCGCCGGCCACCCCGTCGACTCATTCCGAGACTCGCTTCGTCGCTCTGTCTCTCTCGCACCTACACGGGACGCCCTATGGGAGCGACAGAGACAGAGCGACGAAAACGACTCTCCGAATCAGCCTGCTGTTGTGGCGGTGGGGCTCGGCGGGGACGTGGCCTGCCCGGAGCCACAGATAGGTAGCTAATGAGCTCGCAATCGCAACCCTCCAGGCAGCGTCCGACGGCCGCCGTGCTCCAGAGGCTCCAGCCACCTAGCGCCGGCCGCCGTGGAATAGCACGCGGAGCGATAACCTCAGACACTCCGAGAGTCGCTCTCGTCGCTCTGCCTCTCTCGCACTCATGGAGCGTCCCGCTTAGAGGGAGACGAGCGACGAAAACGTCTGTCAATCCGCAACTTGGTCGTGGAGGTGTTCCAGTGCATTCGGCCCACCGGCCGGCAAGGCGCGGGTGAGGGAGAGAGTGTTGATAGCGCCAGATTTTCAGGTGGGAAACAGTCAAGCTGGTGACTCGGATTCCACACTTTCTAGAATATGGTCCATCCGGCAGCATCAGCACGCTTTATGGAGACGGCGAGCCGATGGTTCCGAGTGTCGTATTCGTCGCTCTGTCTCTCTCGCACCAACACGGGATGCCCCATGAGTGCGAGAGAGACGGAGCGACGAAAACGACTTTCTGGGAATCAGCCTGCGGATAGGCAACCCGACCGACGCACACCGCGCGCTGCGTGGCCTACGTGGCATTGCCATTACCATTAAGGGCTAGGCCACACATGGGCGCTAGGATGCGGCCGAGGATGGGTTGATAGGCACGGGGGCGATCCAGCGAGGAAGTGATTTCCCTTATCGCTTGCTCCTTTTGCGTACGCATGGCGAGATAAGCCAGTGCGTCTCCCGCCTCGGCACGCCACGCCACGCCACGCCACGCCTCCGCTGCGACCTGATCACGTGAAAATGCGGTGCACATGCACACCCAGTGCACACACAGCGGCAGTGACGCTCTCAGACACCGACGGCCCCACGCGGCCCCGCCATGCCACCGCCATCCTGGGCCTGGGCGTCCTGGCCGGAACCTTGGAGGCGCGCGGGGAACCACAGTCTGATGGTGTAGTCGTCCTTATCGCATTTTTGTTTTATCACCGAGAACGCTCCGATAGAGAGAAAAGAAACATTTTAAGCGTGGGCGCAACTTTTGAAGTACGTATTTTGCGCGCTCAACATTATTGCCCATCACTATCGATCAGCAGTTCCCAGTTTGGTGTCTTGGTCGTTATCAGTCCAACTCTGTGGAGAGAGAGAGAGAGAGAGAGAGAGAGAGAGAGAGAGAGAGAGAGAGAGAGAGAGAGAGAGAGAGAGAGAGAGAGAGAGAGAGAGAGAGAGAGAGAGGGTGTGCGAGGGTGTGCCTGTGTGAGTGCGTGACGGAGGGACCGTTTCAGGAATCCGACTCCTTCTTTTTCCGTCCCCCCGTTGAACCTATACAGTTCTCTTTTAGGCCCCGCTCCTCTAATCTGATACGGCGGCACGGCGGCGGCGCGGCGGCCAGGTAACGCCCACGTGATGGGTGTCCACTCCAAAGCCGCTGACGTCGAGTCGCCCCGTCGCTCTGTCTCTCTCGCACCCACTACGGCCCGCGGCGCGACCCTCGAGTGCGAGAGAGACAGAGCGACGGGCCCAGCCTGCCGGCGGGGCCTCGCCTCGGGCGGGGGCCCCGAATGTGGGAATTGTAGGAAGCGGTGGACTTGTGGCCCGTTGCGCCACCCAGCGACAAGATAGAGGCTGTCTCCGAGATGGGGGGGGGGGGCGGTGCGCGTCTCCGAGTGAATGAATAGACCACCCTCCACTGGAACGCTCCAGACAGGATTGCACTCGATAATGCAATGGACTGCACTGGAACGCACTAGAACGGAGTGCACTAGAATGCGAGAGCCCCGTTGAGGATGCCCCTCTTATCGGGCATCGCGTAGTGTTCACGCCACTGCTGATTGACATCATTTGAGTGAGGCCTTTGGGCCGGGCGGTCCGCGGTCCGCGCGCATGAATGAGTCCGAGTCCAAGACGGACGAGCGGAGCGACTCTCGAGTGCGTGACTCACAGAAATTACCTCCGTGGACTTCCCCTCCAAAAATTACCTGACGCGCGAATCAAAATCCAAGACTAATTCTCCCCCCCCACAAAAAAAGTTACACATTTTACAGCAAAAATAGTAGAAAATTTGCCGGAAACTGTGCCTAACGCGCTCGTCAGCGGAAATTAACATTTGAATGGTGGCTGGGTTGTCACTCCTGGCGACAGAAGCAAACGCGGCGTACCACAGTGGGCCAGAAGACCGGTGGCGGCGGCCAAAACTCTAGACGCGTTTTGAGCTCCAGAGTCACTAAACAGGCCTCGAACCGAACGTGTGACCCCACCAATGGATTCCTCGTTCTGAGAGCAATCCAGTGGTGGGGTCACACGTTCGGTTCGAGGCCTGTTTAGTGACTCTGGAGCTCAAAACGCGTCTAGAGTTTTGGCCGCCGCCACCGGTCTTCTGGCCCACTGTGCGTACCCTCGGGCGTACCTGTGCACTCCAGGCGGTCGAGCAGCGACCGCCGCGGCATGTTGGCAGCGCTTCGCAGTGTCCCCGCCACGCGCCGCCACGCGTCGTCTGCCGAGACGTTGAGACGGTTGAGGTTAGGTCGCCGCCCCGGGACTCGTCACCCACATCACAACAAGACAGCCGCCCCGCCGACACAAAGACGGTCGCGAGGGACTTGCCGACGTGCTGCTGAGAGGAGAGGACCTCCTGCGTTGCGTCCCCGCGCGGCCTAGCACGCCGTCATCGTCGTGGAAGGTGTTGATGTTGTTGTTGATGCATCGGTTCGCCACCACACTGTTCACTATTCGCAGGAACAGGCTGCAGCCGGAGCGGACGGCGCCGAGCCCGGGTTCAACGCCAGTCGCAGGCCGAACCGAAACAGTTTCTCTCTCTTTCTTTATTGGAGGGAGTGCACGTGACAGGAAGAGTACTCGGACAAGAAAAAAAATTGAGTAGCAAAAAAATGGGATTACAGTGTTGCTATCAGCATCGAACGAATACAACGGTCAGCTGCAGACCGACTCCGAGAGTCGCTTTCGTCGCTCTGTCTCTCTCGCAGCTACACGAAACGCCCCAAAAGTGCGAGAGAGACAGAGTGAGGGAAAGACTCGCGAATCTGCAGGTACAGCCTGTCACACTCTAGGGCAGAGTGTGACATTGCCCGTCGCCCTGCCGTCGGCCCGTCTAGACGGGGTGTCAATGAACAACACCACAACAGCAGTAAGTCACAGGCCAACACCGCGGGGCGCGGCGCGCGCGGCGCGGCAGAGACTGCTTCCGCGGGCAGGTCGCTCTGTCTCTCTCGCACGTGTGGGGCGCCCCGTGGCCCCGTGGGGGTGCGAGGGAGACGGAGCGTGCCCCTGGCTCCGCTTTGGCGGCCCCGTGCTCATTAGATACGCTGCAAATCCCGCGGCCCGGCCGTGTCACTGACGCGAAGCTGACGCGCTGTCGCGGCATAGCGGCCCTATTTTGAGCGTCACACGAGGAAATTGAGCCCGGCCTGGCGGCCCGGCCAAACACGGCCAAGCCCGGCGGAGCGGCTGGATTATCGCGCCACTCTGGCCGTGTCCGCGCCTCTGCTCCGCGCCGCGTGCTCTAATTGGGGCGTAAATTGAGTGCTGCCGTGCCGCGACAAAAGCCGGCAGACTCATTCCGAGAGTCGTTTTCGTCGCTCTGTCTCTCTCGCACTCATGGAGCGTTCCGTAAAGGTGCGAGAGAGACAGAGCGACCAACGGGGCCCAGGTCGCGGGGCCGTCCGGCAGCACCTCGCGGACCGACACTCCCACGGGGCACAGTGGGCCAGAAGACCGGTGGAGGCGGCCAAAACTCTAGACGCGTTTTGAGCTCCAGAGTCGCTAAATGAGACTCCAACCGACCGTTTGACCCTATCAATGGACTCCTCGTTCGGAGAGCAATCCATTGGTGGGGTCATACGTTCGGTTCGAGGCCTGTTTAGCGACTCTGGAGCTCAAAACGCGTCTAGAGTTTTGTCCGCCTCCACCGGTCTTCTGGCCCACTGCCCGGGGCAGACTCGCACGGCAAAGCGATGCCTAAAAGGAACCCGACGCCCACCGGGCCGAATCAACTTTGCCCTCAAGGCGCGGCCGTCGTTCAGGCGCTGCCTCCAGGTCGCCGCCGACGCGGCGTGGTGGACGCAGCCACCGGCCACCAGCGCACTGATTCCGAGAGTCGTTTTCATCGCGGTCTTGCGAGAGAGACAGAGCGACGAAATCGACTCTCGGAATCAGCACCATCGACGCCGCCATCGAGAGCAGGCTGGCTGGCCGGCCGGAAGCGCTAGCCAGGATCGGGCCTTTGATGGCCAGGAGCGCGAGTGGAGCAGAGCGAGTACGTGGAACGGAACGCTCTGCGCGCAGCGCACGGGAACGTGACAACACGCTGACGCGTTTGGCGCCCGGCCGTATCTCAAAGCGCGAAGCCGCGAAGCCGCGAAGCCCGACCAAGGGCACCTTAACGCTTGGTCCGCCCGCCCCGCCCCGCCCCGCCACATGAATGCGCCGCAACCGAGTTTTATAGTCGCGGAGCACGTCACGGACATGACGGGGACATGGCGACATTGCGCGATATTCTGAAAAGAGCGGAAGCGGAGGACTTCCACTGTGCGGAGCAATGCGGAGAGGTTGACGTCGGTCGCTACGGGACCTGCTGTGTGAGTGGAGGTGTGTTTGAGTGTGTGTGTGTGTGTGTGTGCACGCGCGCGAGAGGGGCCGTGCGTGGCGGGTTGCCGACCCTCCCGAACACAGGCGCGCTGCGCGCTCCGGCGGCCGAAGTCGGAGCGCGACTCCTTGCAGTGCAGTGCCGCGGAGTGTAAGCGGGGCACAGTGGGCCAGAAGACCGGTGGAGGCGGCCAAAACTCTACAAGCGTCTTGAGCTCCAGCGTCACTGAATGGGACTCGAACTGAGCGTGTGACCCCACCGATGGATTCCTCGACCGGAGAGCAATCCATTGGTGGGGTCACACGTTCGGTTCGAGTCCCATTCAGCGACTCTGGAGCTCAAGACGCGTCTAGAGTTTTGGCCGCGCCTCCACCGGTCATCTGGCCCACTGTGCGATACCCCCTGCACAGAGCCGGGCCGTGCGGCCAGCAAAGGGCGCGGGGTAGCGACGGGCGTCACTTCCGTTTGCTCGTCGTCTTTGTCACGTTCCTCAAGAGCGCCGCGCCGCGCCACGATAAAAAAGAAAATGACTACAATGACTGCGACGGCACGGAGTGCACGGAGGATGGCCGAGCCGATTCGCAGAGCTGCCAATCTGCCGGCCCTAATTGATTCCGCGCTATCTGCGAGTCCATTCCGAAGAGTCACTTCGCCCTCCGTCTCCCTCGCACTCACGGGGCGTGCCGCAGGGTGCCGCAGGGTGCCGCAGGGGTGCGAGAGAGACGGAGCGACGCGGAGCGTAATCTGCCCGGCGAAAGTTCAGATGAGCATCGAGCGGCCCACAGTGGGCCAGAAGACCGGTGGAGGCGGCCAAAACTCTCGACGCGTTTTGAGCTCCAGTGTCGTTAAATGGGACTGGAACCGAACGTGTGACCCTACCAATGGATTGCTCTCCGAACGAGGAATCCATTGGTGGGGTCACCTGCTCGGTTCGAGTCCCATTACGCGACTCTGGAGCTCAAAACGCGTCTAGAGTTTCGGCCGCCTCCGCCGGTCTTCTGGCCCACTGTGGGGCCCTTGGAGCGGCGCGGTGTCGTCCTCGCCCGCGGCACTGATTCCGTGCTGGCAGTGCTTCGCTATCAATTTGCAACGCGACGAACGCGGCCGCCGAGTCACTGGCTAGCCTCTGTCGTCAACGGGGACCTTTCTCCCTCGTGCAGAGGCCAGGACGTAAATCAGCAAGGTTGTTTTAAAAATTCATCAAGTTTATTAAATAGTAGATTAAGTAGAAGAATCACAAGGTATAATCATTAGTACTACAAAGACGCAAGTCCTTAGGTAAAAATTACAGCCTAACACAGCCAAAAATTTAGTCTTGAACAGACAGTGTTGGACACTCATTGATAAAAATAAAAGTAGTAGATCGCCTTTCAGGAAACATAACAATTAATAACACGCCTTTAAACATTAAACCAAATAGACTAGATTTGCTTACATTTTTTAAAACTAAAGCTACATGCACACGAGAAAACTACATGCGTTTCATAATGGTTGCCGTGAGGGACGATGGCTTCGGTTTCTCTGTAGGCTCGTCCTCGTCATCCTGTAGACAAAGCATTCCAATTTGAGGGAATTTCGAAACGACTAAAAGATTGAGGGAATAAGATGTGGTAAACTCACCTCTTGGAGGCGCTCCTGCATAGTCTCCAACTTGGAGAGGCTGTTGAACGAGCTCATGACGCACGGCGGGGAGGTGCAGCTGCTCTTGGACGCGTTGCTCTGGGTCCTGCCCAGGAAGGCGCTGGTCACGATCACCTGGGTCTTCACGGCCATGCTGAGCACAGAACAGCAATCGTTGCATCAGGGATACAGGCAGAGCACAGTGGGCAGTGGGCCAGAAGCCCGGCAAAGGCGGCCAAGACTCTAGGCGCGTTGTGAGCCCTAGAGAAGCTAAATGGTACTCGAACCGAACGTGCGACCCCACCACTGGATTCCTCGTTCGGAGAGCAATCCATTGGTGGGGTCACACGTTTGGTTCTAGTCTCAATTAGCGACTCTGGAGCTCGAAACGCGTCTAGAGTTTGGGCCGCCGCCACCGGTCTTCTGGCCCACTGGGCAGAGAGGTACGGCGACAGGGGAGAGGGAGAGACACTCACAGTGCGGCCTTGTTGATCTGCTTCGACAGGAGCTCGGTGGTGCTGAGGATGCCCGCCTCCTCGGCGGTCTCGCGCTGCAAGAACTTGGCCGGGTCGGCGACGCAGTTGTGGGCGGCCAGGGCGCCGGTCCAGCGCTCCAGGAGGTGGGCCTTGTCCGTCGAGTCCGGCAGCCGGAAGTACGAGCAGGACTCCCGCATCTCCGTCTTGCCGCGAAACACGACCCCCATGGTGTTGGACACGGCTGCAGACAGAGACAGAGTTAGTCGGACTGGGGGTGGACTCGGTCGCCAAAACGAGGACCCCTCCCTCTCACTCACTCTCGCTGTTGGCCACGTCGACGACCTTCCTGACGGTGGACAGCGGCAGCATCTGGAGGAACTTGTAGGGCTTGCCGCGCACCACCTTGAGCACCCTCTGGGGGACGCTGCTGCCCGTCTGGCCCTTCATCATGGCCACCACCTTCGACTTCTTCTTGCACACCTGAAAAAAAAAAGATGAAACGACTTGCAGCCAGCTTGCATTCGGGACGGTCCCAGAACCGGGCGCGTCGACCCACCAAAATGACATCGGTGAAGATGAAGAAGGCCAAGGTGTTGCCCTGCTTGCCGAAGCCGTGCTCAGTCACTTCCACGCCCTCGCACTCCACGACCAGCGACCGGTGGGACGCGATCACGTCCGCCTGGGGGACACCAAAATTTAAAAAAAAAAGTTAGAACAAAACGAAACGTTAAAAAATAGTTTAAATGCGGGGTACTCACGGGGCACTTCTCGATGAGGTTGAACACGTCGAAGACCCGGCACAGCCCTTCCATCTTCCGCTTGTCCTCGTTGATGAAGGACAGCACGTGCGACAGGCTCTCCAGCGCCGACTCCAGCTGCTTGCGGTCCGGGCTGTCCTCGGGGGTGTGCTTCAGGATTTCTGGACAACAACATAGTGGACTCAGCAATAACACTGCCGGCACACTGTTCATCAACAAATGTGACGGCGGCGCGTGGCACAGTGGGCCAGAAAACCGGTGGATGTGGCCAAAATTCTAGACGTGTTTTGAGCTCCAGCGTCTCTAATTAGGACTCAAACCGAACGTGTGATCCCACCAATGGATTGCTCTCCGAACGAGGAATCCATTGATGGGGTCACACGTTCGGTTCGAGTCCCATTTAGCGACTCTGGAGCTCAAAACGCGTCTGGAGTTTTGTCCGCCTCCGCCGGTCTTCTGGCCCACTGTGGGGGGAGGGCCTTACCTCTGAGCAGCAGCAGCGTGCTGCCGAGGCGCTGCACCGGCCGGATCATGAGCTCGTGCAGCTCCTGGCGCCCGCACTCCGGCTTGCCCTTGCACACCTTGAGGAAGGCGTGGAAGCGCGGGTTGCGCTCGCTGGCCTGCTGCAGGGTCTCCTTGGCGTCCTCGAACGACGACACGAACGGCGCGTAGTGGCGCAGCAGCTCCGGGCTCTGCACAGACAGGGAAGCAGTGACAAAGCGGTGCAACGGGAGCGATTCCGAGAGTCGTTTTCGTCGCTCTGTCTCTCTCGCACCTACACGGAACGCCCCATGAGTGCGAGAGAGACAGAGCGACGGAAGCGACTCCCGGAAACAGTGTGCCGGAGACAGCGAGCTCACTCAGACTCACGTGCTTCTGATACACGGCACCAACGTCGGCCGCCTCGGACCAATTGTTGTAGATGACGCGCAAGTCTTTGAGGATGGCGTGGTGCGTGCGGGCGATCGGCATCAGCGCCCCGAAAATCATTTTCGCCTCCGTCTGCGTCAGCAGCACGCCCCCCGCCTGCCCAGAGTTGAGCGCCTCGGTCCTCATCTGCAACACAAGGGCCAGCGCGTCACCAGAGTGCCACCTAAAACAACTGAAGTTTTCGTCATGTCCCGAAGACACCGAGCGTCCCGCGTGACGCATGGAGTAGCAGAAAATAGAAATCAAGAATGAAGCTGTCCCATGCATAACGATTCGAACGCTCCAAGTTCGGATTTTCGTCCGGGTGGCACTCTGGTCGGCGACACCCCGCGTCACAGGGAAGTCCCGCGGTCGCGGAGTAGCGACGAGGCCCCGCGGCCGCGCAGGCACCGGCGGCGACGCGACATTGGCTTTGAGTCTGAGTGAGCTGGCCCTAACCACGAGGCAGACAGTCCGCACCTGCAAGATGGCGTCCAGGATCCCCACGTAGTTCTCCTCGGTGTGCATGAGCTCCAGGAAGGCCCCGAAGCGAGAGCTAATGGGCGACGCCGCCACGCCGTCCAAGCTTCCCTTTCTGGACAGCGGCGCCAGGGACTGCCGGCGGAGAGGGCGTGCAGCAGCACTTCTTGGGGATCTTGGAGTAGTACAGTCGGTCGAAGACAGAGACCTTCTTCCTGGGGTGCGCGGGGTGCGCGGGGTGCCCGGCGTGCCCGGCTGGCCTGGGCGGGACCAGGTCAGGGGAGGCGCAGTCCTCGGTGGGCGGACGGATGCGCAGGGCTGGGATAGGATGGGCGAGCCGAGGGAGCCGCCACGTGGACTCCAGCACGTCCCCGTCAGACTTTCGGCGGGAGGAGCGGACGCCGGTAGCACTGCAAAGAAAAACTGCACGGAATCAGGTTGGCAGGCTGGGCGTCGAACAGCCCAGGGCACATGAGAGAACAGCAGCAGCAAGCCCCACGCCGCACAGTGGGCCAGAAGACGGGTGGAGGCGGCCAAAACTCCAGACGCGTTTTGAGCTCCGGAGTCGCTAAATGGGACTCGAACCGAGCGTGTGGCCCCACCAATGGATTCCTCGTTCGGAGAGCAATCCATTGGTGGGGCCACACGTTCGGTTCGAGTCCTATTTAGCGACTCTGGAGCTCAAAACGCGTCTAGAGTTTTGGCCGCCTCCACCGGTCTTCTGGCCCACTGTGCGCCGCCGGGAGGTAGGCAGCCCAACGAACGCGCGGTACCTGTGTCGCTCTCCCTCGCACTCATGAAGCACCGCACAAGTGTGGGAGTGAGAGAGCAACGCGGTTCGCTATCAGCCCGCGGGCCGCAAGCCAGAGGCCGAATACTTACACGTCCCGTCGTTGAACACGTCAGGGATGTTGGGGGTGTCAGGGATGTCAGGGAAGTCAGGGTTGTAGGGCGTCCAGGGATTGCAGGGAGTGCAGGGCGTCAGCGTCTTCTCGGCGTACATGTTGGGGGAGGGCAACTCGGCGAGCGACACGCGGCGCAGCGCGCGGTGCTGGCGGTAGGGGTTGGGGCTGGGGCTGGCCGAGTCCGGCTCCACGTTCTCCTTGTTCCTGGACAGCTTCGGCCCGGTGGAGCGCCGCCGCACGGAGCCCCTCTTCGGCGGCTTGCGCAGCCTCTCCTCGGGCACGGCGAACTCGTCCTCGCAGCAACGCATCACCTGCTGGATGCTCGACCAGAACCAGGACGCCGTCACCAGCGCGGCCTCGGGGCGCACGCCGGCGGGGATGGTGACCGGCGAGTCGTCATCGGCAACCTGGCGGCAAGAGGGCAGGGCGCTAGAAACGGTGCTGCCGACGAGGGCCAGCGCGAGGCCTTCTGGCGGTGCTGCAAACTGACTTACAATGTGCGTGCACTCGGCGCTGGTGGCGTCGACCAGCTGGCCGCCGTTCGACTCCAGGAGCTTCTCCGCCTCGTCCACCTCGGCCTTGGGGAAGCCCACGAACGCCACCTTCGTCCCCACGAACGGACCCAGGCGGTGCACCATCTGCCAGCAACATCAGCCAATCAAACACTCGGCGCGCGGCGGCGCCACCACAGCTCGCAGCGAGTTTTACCATCGCCTCGTCGTTGGCGTGCACGGTGGGCGAGTCCCGCATCCGCCAGCACGCCCACACCCACTCGGTGGACATGACCGGCACCAGGAAGGTGGACGCGTACTCGTACTTGGGGCCCGTCGTCACGGCGGCGATGAGGTGCGTCGTGTGGCGGTTGGGCTCCAGGCGCACGCTGCCGCCCATGCTCCGGATCAGGAACATCAGCTCCATCTGGACAAACAACCTGCCGTTAGTGGGCCAGAAGACCGGTGGAGGCGGCCGAAATTCGAGACGCGTTTGGAGCTCCAGAGTCGCTAAATGGGACTCGAACCGATCGTGTGACCCCACCAATGGATTGCTCTCCGAACGAGGAATCCATTGGTGGGGTCACACGTTTGCTTCGGGTCCTGCTTAGCGACTCTGGACTGGAGCTCAAAACGCCTCCACTGGCCCACTGCGCGACGCGACTTGTCAACACAGAGCGACGCTGGCAATACCCCACGCGCGCCGCCACCGCGGCGTAACGACTCGAGCGGCGGGGAGTATCGCCGCGGACGGCGAGGCGGGGAGGCGGGATGCAGTACTCACGATCAAGTTGCGGTCGCGGATCCCGGTGAAGCACGTCACCACGCCCTTCATGGTGAAGCAGAACAGGGGCCGCTTGACGATCGGCAGCGGCAGGAGGTCGTTGGCGAGCTGGATCAGCGCCATGCTGCCGAACACCCGCCTGCAACACCGTGGAGCACGTCAACGAGGCCCGCGTCAAGCCCGGCGCTCTACAGTGGGCCAGAAGACCGATGGAGGCGGCCAAAACTCTGGACGCATTTTGAGCTCCAGAGTCGATGAATGGGACTCGGACCGAACGTGTGACCCCACCAATGGATTCCTCGTTCGGAGAGCAATCCATTGGTGGGGTCACACGTTCGGTTCGAGTCCCATTTAGTGACTCTGGAGCTCAAAACGCGTCTGGAGTTTTGGCCGCCTCCACTGGTCTTCTGGCTCACTGTGCGCTCTGTCTCTCTCGCACTCGTGGGCCGTCCCATTGGTGCGAGAGAGACAGCGCGACGAAACGACTCTCGGAACCAGTCGGCAGGGAAGAACAACGCACTCACCACTTGATGTCCACGAGGTTCTCGAAGGCCGGGGACTCCACGTCCTTGACGACGAGGACCACGGACGCGTCGTCCAGGTACTCCGAGCCCGTCAGCGAGGTGACAACCTCCAGCCCGAACGTCTGCGGCGCCGAGAGCAAACAAGGTCAACAAAAACAAAAACAATTTGACGAGCTGCGCTGCGCCACGCTGCGTAATCAGACAACCCACCTCTGCAGCGGCCTCCAGTGTGGGCGAGACGCTCTCGCCGATCAGGCAGATCTTGGTGCGCGGGACGAAACCTGACGACAACAAGAAGAGACACGTCATCACCGGCAAGCCACGCACAGTGGGCCAGAAGGCCGGTGCAGGCGGCCAAAACTCTAGACGCGTTTTGAGCTCCAGAGTCGCTAAATGGGACTCGAACCGAACGTGTGACCCCACCAATGGATTGCTCTCCGAACTAGGAATCCATTGGTGGGGTCACAAGTTTGCTTCGGGTCCTGTTTAGAGACTCTGGAGCTCAAACGCGTCTAGAGTTTTGGACACCTCCACCGGTCCTCTGGCCCACTGTGCGCCCTTGCAGCCGCGGCGCGCCCCTTGAGTGCGAGAGAGACGGCGCGACAGCCCGCGGACCGCCAGGTGCACGCCGTGACCGTGACCCCAAACGCAGCGCCACTTACCCTCACTCTCGATGAGGGTCGAATGCGACCGGACGGAGCTGAAGGCGCTCGACGTGATGGACGTGAGGGACATCTGGTCGAAGGGGATGACGCCGCCGCCCAGGATGACGGACTCCATGTCCGCGGCGTGCCTCCTCGTCGCCATGCTGCTGGTGCTGGTCACCCGGTTCAGGTCGTTCATGGCGGCTGCGTGCTGCTGCGTGCCGTCAACGTAAACATGCACTCGGTTGGGTCGTCGCGCGCGCTGTCGGGGTGCTGGGTGCTGGAGCGAGCGGCGCCGGCGACAGATCGAGACTGAATGACGAAATGAGCGATGCGGCGCGTCGCGTCCAGTCCACGGCCCGGCCGGCCGGCAGGTTGGGGCAGGTCAGCACGCATTGGCTGCTGGGCTGCGCGTGGGAACCTGCCGCCCCTGCCGCCTCCCCGCAGCGCAGAGTAGCGCGGCACTTCGAACGGCGTGGGAACGATGCGGAACCGGGAAACCTCGCCGACGACGGGAAGCAGACCGATGCCGCACGTCGGCTTGGTCGCTCTGTCTCTCTCGCACCTACGTGGGGGACGCCGCATGAGTGCGAGAGAGACAGCAGGAGGGAAAGCCCAGCCGCCGCCGCCGATCCCGAAGGATCGTGCCGTCGGTTCGTCTCTGTCGCACTCGTGGGCCGCGCCGTCGAGGTGCGAGAGAGACAGACGGCCCTCCGGAATGAATCGCGGCCCGTCGGCCCTTCCCACGCAGTCCGGCGCGTCCTCCGGTGCGTCCCGCGGACCACCGCCACCACCGCGGACACGGGGGAAGTGGGCGGGGAAAGGGAAGCACCGGAGGCACGCCGGGCACGGAGATGCATGAAAGAAAAGTGCAAGGACTAAACGAGATACAGGCGATCGTGAGGGGGTGCCGGCGCGGTGGCGGGGTGAGGGCCACTGTGAGGGCCTTGGCGAGGGCGGGGCGGGGCGGGGCGGGGCGGGGCGGGGCGGGGCGGGCGGGGTGGGGCAGGTCGCCGGAGGGGCGTACGGGGCGGCGGACGCCGAGGGTGTGGGCGTTGAGGCTTTCTGCTGAGGCGAGCAAGCGTCTCCAGAAGTGGAGGGCTCTTGACAGAAATTACTGCTGATTGGCCAGAATTTGCCGGCGATTCCCGAAGTCCCCCACAGTGCACCGCGCGCCCCCACAGCCCCCGTGGAAAACAAGCCTCCCCCCTCCCCCAGCGGGGCCCACCCCCACCCTATCCGAGACTCCTCTTCGCCCTTGTCCGTCGCCATGCCCGTCTTTGCATGCAGCATCCATCAGCGGTGCTCCCGAACGGCGCCTCGACGCCCGTCTCTCTCGCACGCCCGCGGCGCGGTGCGGCGCGCCAGTGAGTGCGAGAGAGACGGGCGATGAGGAGGCCGTCGGGAAGCAGCCTGCGTCACGGAGGCCAGGAATTAGGCCACAGGGCGATGCACGGCCGCTGATGAGCCCTGCTGGCGTTCGAACCGCCACCGGCGCCACCGCGACCGCCACGTCGGCTGGAAAATTCACCGATTTCGGTCCATGGCATTCAACAACCAGAACATTGAGCCCGCACCACAAGTGTATTTCGAGAATTACAAGCAGAATTTACCATTTTCTGGCAGGCGCGGATCCAGGGGAGGAATAGTGGAGCACAGTGGGCCAGAAGACCGGTGGAGGCGGCCAAAACTCTAGACGCGCTTTGAGATCCAGAGTCGCTAAATGGAACTCGAACCGAACGTGTGACCCCACCAATGGATTCCTCGTTCGGAGAGCAATCCATTGGTCGGGTCACACGTTCGGTTCGAGTTCTATTTAGCGACACTGGAGCTCAAAACGCGTCCAGAGTTTTGGCCGCCTCCGGCCCACTGTGTGGGGTTGACCTTCGAGGGGCAGCTACCCCTCCTTGCGTACTAGATAGAGCGTCTAGAAGGCAGGCAAAAGCACTGCTTTGCCCCTGTAAGTGCCCCCTTCTGACAAAACTCCCGGATCGGCGCCGGTTTTCCGGGTCTACATGCGACCGATCGCGCTGCCGGCCGTCCGGAGTGTCCGGTCGATGTGGCCGCTCGATGGGGCCCACCGCGGCCCACGCTGGCGCCATGGCTAGCACCACCAGGAGGGCCGCGAATGTGAAGCAGCAGTTGACCTATTCCATTGCATTCGACGAGCAGTTTGGTGGGTTAGCGGGTCAAGTGTGCGCGGCCGAGTGGCATTTTTCGCTTCAACAAGTTTTGCATATTTATGAGCGGGGGACGCCGTTTGCCCGTTTGCTGCCGCCGCGGCCCTACCGGCGGCCCTGCCCAGTGTAGGCGAAGAAGCGCAAAGCCCAAGGCAAGCCCAGCCGTATTTCATTCCGAAAGAAATCACCACTCTGTCTCTCTCGCACTCAGGTCATTCTGAACACTGTTTCGTCGCTCTGTCTCTCTCGCACTCAATGGGCGTCCCACGGGGGTGCGAGAGAGACAGAGCGACGACTGCCGGTCCGAGTACAGCAGCGGAGCGCGCGCCCGGGCACCACCACGACCACGACGACGGGCGGCACCGCTAGCACCACACAGTGGGCCAGAAGATCGGTGGAGGCGGCCAAAACTCTAGACGCATTTAGAGCTCCAGAGTCGCTGAACAGGACTCAAACCGAACGTGTGACCCCACCAATGCATTCCTCGTTCGGAGAGCAACCATTGGTGGGGTCACACGTTCAGTTCGAGTCCTATTTAGCGACTCTGGAGCTCAAAACGCGTCTAGAGTTTTGGCCGCCGCCACCGGTCTTCTGGCCCACTGTGCAGCGCCGCGCCGCGCAGTCGAGCGATTCCGCCGCCTGCCCTCCTCGCTCTGTCTCTCTCGCACCCCTACGGAACGCCCCGTGAGTGCGAGAGAGACAGCCTCTGAGTCAAGTGCGCCGAAATCGATCCCCGCCAAAGAGTGCTCGAGAGGCATCGGAGCCGAGCCGCGAGCGCCGCGAGCCGCGCCGAGTGTCCCAGGAGTGTCGCGGGGAGTGTGGCAGTGTGGCGCCGAGTGCAGTGTACCAGTGTGCCAGTGTGCCAGTGTACCAGTGTAGCGCACGCGTCGCGAGGCCGCCGTCGACCGCCAGCGCCGCCAGGGCCAGGGCCAGGACCGCCACGCCGACGAACGATCTGCCGATCCGCGCGCACCAGGGGGCGCCGCGGGGCCGACGGGGGGGAGGGGAGGGGAGGGGCTGGAGGGGCGGCACTTTGAAAGCGAGCCGAATGGGCCGTAATGGCGGGAAAACTGAAACTGCATCAAGACCGGCAAGAAGGCTGCCGCGGAAGTCCAGAGCCGCGGCCAGGGGCTGCAGCAGAGGCAAAGAGTTGCTCTCTGCCTACCTTTCAGGCGGCTGGGGGTCACGGAGGCAATCGCCCACCCCCTCTGGATCCGCCATTGTCGGACGGGCTGCCTACCCGCACTGCAGAGGCGCTGCTCTGCTCTGTCTCTCTCGCACTCATGGGGCGGCCCGTAGAAGTGCGACAGAGACAGGGCGTCCACCCAACACCGCGAGGGCTTCGACTTGGAGGCCAAGGAGGCGGCCATGACCTTGTCCCGTATTCGAACGAAGAGAGGTCGCTCCGTCTCCGTCCCGCTCGTCGGATGCCCCGCGGGTGTGCGAGAGAGACAGAGCGAACGCGGCGCGTCGCGGCGCGGACTGCAGGCACACTGCAGATGATTGGTCCATCGGAAGGCGCTGGGGCCATTACGTTCAGTGTCACGACCGATAAAAAGGCCGAATCGACAGACTTCACCGTCGCTTTTTTAAAGGCGGACGCGAAGGAGCGTCCTTTTGACGTTCCGACGGCGTCCTCGTCACGCGGGGAGTCCAGAAGTAGATCTAGAGCCCACACGTTGCTGGTGGGCCTTGGCCAAAGCTAGAATGAACAGTCATGTTTCTGGTGCTGTGTCGTCAGTGTAAAGCGGTGTAAAGACCTACCTCTTCTTTATTTTGGGGCCGGACCGCACAGTGGGCCAGAAGGCTGGTGGAGGCGGCCAAAACTCTAGACGCGTTTTGAGCTCCAGAGTCGCTAAACAGGCCTCGAACCGATCGTGTGACCCCACCAATGGATTCCTCGTTCGGAGAGCAATCCATTGGTGGGGTCACACGTTCGGTTCGAGTCGCGCTCAAAACGCGTCTAGAGTTTTGGCCGCCTCCACCGGTCTTCTGGCCCACTGTGAACCGGCCGTTCGGACGGCCTTCCCTCTGGGGCTGGCAGCCCTAGGCAGCCCTAGGCAGCCTAGGCAACCCAAGGCAGCCCTGCAGGGCGCCAGGAGTGGGGGGATCGGGGGCAGGTCCGGGAAGGCCTGAGTGTCCTGGCGGGGGTCCTCGAGGAGCGGCAGGCCCGGCAAGCCAGACGAGTCACTAACGACCTCACGTGACCAGCGGGCGGGCGGGCGGGGCGGGCGGGGCGGGGCGGGGCGGGGCAGGGTGTGGCGGGGTTGCTGGTTGGCCGGCCTGGATGGCCTGGATGCAGGCAGCGTCCTGATGCAGGTTTCGGCTTCGCCGCGTCGCCTTCGCGGTCCTCGCTCTGTCTCTCTCGCACTCGTGAGGCGTCCCATAAAGGGTGCGAGAGAGACAGAGCGACGCGGGGCGCTGTTTGAAATGAGCCCGGCCGTGCCGGCGCATGGGTGGCTTGGACGCCTTGCCGCCTTGACCCTGCATCATTACCGGCCTCTTAATTATGGCGAGTCACACGCCGGCGGGCCGCCTCGCTCTGTCTCTCTCGCACTCGCTGGGCCAGCCGGCCGGCCACACAGGTGCGAGAGAGACAGAGCGCTGCCAGCCGTGTGGTTGCTATTCGCAGTGCCAACCCGGCCAACACACACACAGACGCACCCACACCAACCCTTCTTGTTTTAAAATCTGTGCCGCGCTGCCACGGCCACTCGCCGCTGTAGGCTACCCTGCCGTCTAGGACGATGACAAAAAATGGCATCTAAATTAAGAGCCTGAAAGTTGGGCAAAGGCCCATGAAAGTAGGCAGAAGTTGCCACTCCCCCCCCTTTTCAAAGGCCGCCCCTGGACCCGCCACTGCCTCGTCTCGCCCTGCCGTCTCGCCCTTCCCGGCCCACTGCACAGTGTGTCAAGAGGTATTGACAGCCTTGCGGGCCCTGGCCCTGGGCCCTGCGGACAGCCCCCGTAGGCCCGGGGCCCTGGGCCCTGTCACAGTGCCAGTGGTGTAGTGTAGGGACTTTCGGGGAGGGGAAGGACCAGAGCGCGTTGGGGGAGAACGCCTCGGACATGTGTCTAGATGCAGCAGCCGAGCGATTCAGAAAAGTCGTTTCGCCACTCTGTCTCTGTCGCACTCATGGGACGCTGCACAAGAGTGGAAGGAAGACGAGGCAATGCGTCGTCGAAGGCCTTTCAGTGCGTGGGGCATAAA